TGGGTTCCTAGTGTTCTGAAAGAGGTGGCTCATTGGTTTTGGAGTAGTGGGCCAGTACAAATGCATTATAACTCACACCTACGTATCATTTGACCGTCTATTCCATGCGACAAAACCGAGATATAAAAGGGGCGGTGGTTGTTTTAGCGATCAAATAAACTCCCAATAGGTTGGCAGTCGTCGAAATTTAAGCAGTCTAAAGCGTTTACACTGTAAACTCTATCAGGAATGATAATCACGTGCAAGTCTGTCGAACTGCTTGTAACTGTTCTTACGTTTACCGTATTACAATGGGGAGTAAACAGATGTCTTACATTTCACGAATAGTGCACATCTAACTTTCGTTCACATTTGTTAGGCATTTGACAAAACAAGATCTATAGTTTTGAGGTGCTTTAACGATTCATAGGAACCGGTACACATCTCCATATCCGTGGTAGCTGTTGCGGTGCAGAAGGCTACGTTGAAGACCATTTTGAAGTCTGTCAAGGATTCCGTCGTCTTTAAAGTATAATTATGCTCTTCTCAGTTCCGAACGTATTGTAAGATGAGTTTTGAACAGCAAGGGTTTGTATGAAAGATGGTGCGTATAGATCCCCTGGATGATAATCCATTCGTGCTATGACGTGAAATGCGATTGGGTGGCGTGATGAAGGTTCCTTTCAATTAGACAGGTTTGTGGGTGACTCATCCTAATCAGCCATGTATTTCTTTCGGGGTCATACATAGAGACTATCAGAACTCGAGAGAGTATACCTTAAACCAAACCTTCCTCTATACATGGCAGTTTATAGTCAGCCAAATGTCATTTCGCGAAAGATCGACAAAGCTGGATAAATCAAGTATTCATTTCATGGTTTTCCTAAACATCAGTTGATGTAAACTCTTCTGTCAAATAGAATGTACTCCGTAGATCAAAATAACATCTGGTTATGTGATTGTACAGCCCCAGAGTGTACCTACCCGAATGTTTCTCATGACTGAACGTGGTTTGTTGTCATTGAAATTACACTCATGTACTCAACATCCACGAATCAGTGTCAAAAACGTATGGTCAGACAACCCGTGAAACGTCCGGATCTAAGCAAAGGGATGGATCAGCTTTGTGCGCATCTTTTTCCATTTGTGTTACTTTTTAACTGGTTATCCTAGGAATATATCATCAATACTTTGTAATCACTAAGGCGTTTTTCTATATTTAGTGGATGGTTCTGGTATTCGAATCCACTTAGTTAACTACCGTGTGAGGGAAGCCGTCTCCATCGATGTGATGCAGTAGTTCATGAAATGCTGTTAATCCAATCAATTGGGCGCCTTCGGACACATCGATGTAAGTTGGCCAGTACAATCCATCAGCAGCTGGCTATCGGTCTGCTCAGTTGATCGCTTCCTTCCAGGGGGGTGATTTTTCATGGTGCTTCAGTTACGATGGGTTTGAAATGAATCCAGTCCCTTGAATGAGAATGATCCTCACCATGTTCACGTCAGCCAAACTGGAAATGGTTACCCAGGGCCCTAATATAGCTCATACGTATTTTGTCGCTATTACCATCCAATCAACACCTACTTTTGCTTACAAACCTGACACTACCGTATCACCTATTTGAACCAGTCAACTATAATACTCGTTTTTCTCGCAAAAGTCATTACGCAAATATGATCTTCACCTTTCTACATTTATATCACTGGAATGGACAGAGAATGAAGTTATTGAAAACAAGTTTGACTATGATTTCCCATTTTTGCAAACGTTACAGTGAAAGTCTTCAGTGAATCGCACATTTTCCTAGTGCGATATGTTTCCTTTGTCCTGATTGAGAGTGATGTAACTAAAAGTGGTGGAACATATTATGCAACTTTATGACACAAAATGGGAGTATATTGTTAATAATTAGTGTAACAACTCACTATGCTGAATCCGCCGTAACTGAATAAATCAAAGCTGAATCACAATCTAAGTAAGGGACAATAAATTTTGGAGGAGAAATTATTTGATCAAATCGATAGGGGATTCGTAATTCCAAATGCATTCCGCTAGGTCTGTCTCTCAACGTTGTCTTTCCCACACGGGGCTTTGTCAATCTCGTGTTTAACAACCGGTAACAAAGTTTTGCTGTGTTGGAGTAATTATGCTATCCCAATGAAAAAGATAACCCACAAGAAAATAAAAATACTTAATACACGATCCGTCTCATCGGTAGAATTTTCCAAGTCATTTAGGTCTACCAAGTGGATTTCAGTCGGAATCCTTTGCTGTCCACTTACTCCAAAGTTGTCAGTTGGTTCCGTGAAATAACAAGCTGCAATTGATCACAGTGGGTCATCGAAAGCATATTCTGTCGGTACCTTAGATGAACCACTTTCCGCTTAGCCTTATGCTCATAAAAGATATACCAGGGAGCCATTTAACCCTCGAGGTCGCTCTGACGAGAACATATGTTCGACGAGGTCAACTGTTAAGAAGATTTTGACTTGAAACGTCGGTAACTCAGTCGTTTAATATTCGACTTGTCTATAACTCAAGTGGTGCCATCAAAAGGACATAGGTAAGAATAATGTGTACTCAAAACCCTACTATGAAAATCCAAACTTTCGCGCATAATAACCTGATATAATCAGCTTGTCTAATACAAAAGCTAAATCGGATGAGTTCCAGTTGATGAACAGGCATTTTCATCAGTTACAACGGATGACAACTCTGTGCGCTATGAAATTCGCATATTACCGGGACACATCAGATAGACGACCAATGCAAATTAGTAAGAGTTGTACTGTCGGACGAAAGACTGCCACCCGAAAAATCGGAGTTGAGTATCCGCACAGTTACGAGATGCAGCCCATACGACGACAGAGTAAACATGAACTGTGGGAGCGCTTCTCAAATAGACGAAGAAACCGAAAAGACACATTTGCCATCCACAAGCAACTGACAAGCAATTTGTAGTGTGACAAAACTAAACCATCCGATTGTTTGTTCCTCTGTGTGTAGATAAGGGCAATCGGAAGTGATCATGAGGATTGCAAGTTTCACGTATGCCTTCAACAATGATCCATTGTTGACACAGAACTACTCCTACTGCACAAGACCAGGAATAATTGGCCTTTTGGTCTCTGTGAGGTAGCATGGAGATTTGGGTTGTGTCACTAACTTGGAATGTTGCAATCGGGTTTTTTTCTGGACATGTAGGATCCACACTATTCCTCTATCTGAAATCTCTTTAAAGCTTGTCTGTTCTGCATGTCATGGCAATGTGCGTATAGCAAACACTGCCGGTCTAAACAAATGATGAGGTCATAAATCCTTGCTGGACTTCATTTTTGAGTTTATATTTACTTTTGTGACGGATGAAGTGGAGTTATGGCTTTCAGATTTATCACTATGAAGAGAAACGGTGAATGGAGAGGGTGAGTAATGTGAAAATGTGATTGTAATGTAGACTCCTCGGAGTGAATGAATTAATACATGGATGACCATAGCGGTTTCGATAGTTTCCAATTCATGTTTACGATTTGGTTCTGGGTGAGCTTGCCCAGGCCAAAGTAATTAATTGTTTTTTTCCTGCGGATTCTTAACAAGAGATTTTGTCTAATCAAATCCTAACTGGTAAGGTAGCGAGGCGGTGTATGGCAACCGTGATCGATTGGGAACAGTGTTCAACTGATGGGATCATACGCCCTTCCACGCGTCTAAAACGTTCATTGTACGGAAAACCCTACTGTGTAGTCAAGCCACTGACCATTACGACCGGGATCCCTTACAGCCTTTTTGTGGGCCTTATGTTGAAAATTTTTCTCGTTTTATTAGATGAGCTAGTTACTCGTGACTTAACAATTCAGTCTGGCTCCGGTTTTTATGTTGACTTTTAGCCTCTTCACTACATTTAAAATACTATCTGAACTGAAAAGGAACGAGAGAAGTCCGGGAAGCACAGATCATGGGTGGAATTGGAGATTTGGGAGAAAAATCTGTTATCTCACTGACTATCAGAATTGGAAATTCACCAGGTATTTATATCATTCCCACCTGGTGCACATGGGTGTCTAAACAGAGGATGCATGAACTCACGCCAACTATCACTTCACTCAACACATAAGCAACAAATGAATAAATATTCTATAACTTGTTAACATGCTTCATGACTGAAAGAACAAGATGCTCACGCGCTTGCAAGACAAATCCCAGATATAAATTGAGAAACAGGTGAAACCAATTGAGGAGCGATGCCAAGACAAGTGTGTAAATTTTACCCATATCATAATCACAGAAACTTGATGACTTTGTAAACTCCAATGAAGCCTAGTTATTTTTGATCAGTTATTTGTTATACACTGTTTAGGTGGACGAAAATGGAAAATTTGAAAGACACGTCGGTTGCTATAAGTCCATTATCCTGATTGACGAATAATTGACAGAAAACGAATACTGAAATCTCTAGGCTCTCAGTGTGAGAGTGGCGTGATGTAGGAATTTTGGCTGAAAGGAATTTTTTCTGTTTGGTTGGTTCGCAAATCAGAACATAAAAATAAAATGTAAGATTTCTGTCCGTCAGGTAGTTATTGAAACTGGTGAATCTGAAATAGGTGACTGTCAGGTGTAGGGACTAGAGAACCGTAAAAGCTTAAACCACGGACATTCGAATGGTCTCCTAATGTTCTCCGCATTCAAAATAATATGAAAAATTTGAAATCCAAAACGGTTATTTATGTTTCTTTTACAGCGAAGCTAATAGTATCTACATGATATGGAGAGAAAGAGATTTATGCAATTGTTCTGTGGTTAATAACATCAATATTATTAATTGTAATTGTGGTCATATTGATAATTATGTTATATGACCACAAGAAGCACTTCATTTAACATTCACATCCGAACAACCATTAATCAAGACCACAAAGCGTGAAGACTTACAATCATAGGATGACT